ATCCATCCCGAGCAGGAAACGGAAGCTGTGGACTATCCGGGTTTATATCTTCCCGCCCGTGTAGTGCTTTCACCATCTCGGGTCCATTCTAAGTAGCGAGTGAGAGTGGTGATTGGCAGCAATCATTTGACCAGTCATGGTTGACCTCTTCCTCCTCGACAACGGTTTTCAGGACTTCCCCATGTCCATGGATAACGGAATACGAGAGCGGTGGTCAGCCACGAGTGCCTGGCTTGTTTGAATTGAAATCTTCCCACCCCAGCGGTATTCTAACCATTTCCTCACTTCCAAACCAAGCAGCGAGCGAGAGCAGTTTTGACCGTTATTGCTCGGCCGGTCGGGACTGGCCTCATCCCTCCCGAGTATTTCTTTCTTTTTGTTTTTTCTTCAACACCCCTTCATGTCGACTGGCAGCAGCAGGCGAGAGCGGTGTTTGGCTGCGATTATCCGGCACATTGGGATCAACCTCCTCTAGGCCGAACAGCATTTCCACCACTTCCTGATGTGCATTATGGGTAGTCCATGCATGTGAACTATACCCAAACAATCTCCTTTGTTAACATCCCATTCCTATTAGGGTAGCCACAGGCTCGACGACTCCGAAGAACGATGCGCAGTGCAGCCAACTGAACGGAGGCCAGGTATCACACCACTCAAGACCTCAATTCACCACTTGGGCCAAAACAAATTCACTGGATAGGTGGCCATCAAACTCTGGCAACCAGTTCAGCGCAAGGAATGTCGGGTAGTCCGAGAGTTCTATTTTCAAATGGACTCTGCAGCACAGAGAGCAATAGTCAGGAAAGGGCACACCCCGTGTGAAGAGACGAATCGGTCGAAAGGACATTGACTTGTCGTAAATTCAGGTAGGTCAAGCTTCCCGGGGAGGCGATGGGGGAGAAGGAAGAGGCGGTTCGGATACAGAGAGAGAGGAAAGGAAGGAAACGGCGGGTGATGCAAATAGCGAAAAGGGAGTAGGTGGCGACGAGAGGGGGCAGGTGCAATCGCGGTTAGCAATGTAATCCTATTTTCATATCGCCTCCTTTGGCTTTGCGCATGTGTCTGCTCATTGCCAAACCCAACAATAGACTTTGAAGGCTTTTTCGAGGGACAGCCTCATGCTCATCATGGTTACTGCCAGACCTTACACTACTGCTCTCAGGAGTCGCTAACGAGAGATCACCAGCCAAGTGCTTGCCACTAGCCTGAGAACCTGGGAATTCCTCACAAGTCTTGTGGGTGCCGCCAGTCTCCGCAATAGATATTGCCTCAGGTACTTCCAATCCAGCCAGGGAGAGCTCACTATCAGAGTGCTTGCCGCTAGTCCGAGAACCTGGGGATCCCTCACAAGTCTTGTGGGTGCCGCCGGTTTCCACAATAGATATTGCCTCGGATACTTCCAACCCAGCCAGGGAGAGCTCACTATCAGAGTGCTTGCCACTGGATTGTGTAGAGTCATGACTCAAGGCTAATTCAAAAGCGTCACCTATTGAATCTGCACCTAACTCTCTTGATTCACCCTTTCCAACTGCCTCCTTCCATGCATTCTGAGATTCAATAAACCGCACATCAGAGCAGTTGATTGGCTTCCCCTGGCCATGGTTTCCTTCAAAGTCCCATAGCCTCCAGATCTTAGTAGAACTTGTATATCCCAGCATCATTGCAAGTTGAGTCCTGGCCCCAAACTTGAGCAATGTCTTTAAGTCCAGCGTAGCATCAGGAGTTCTCCGATAGGCAACACAGACAATTCTTCGGAGATGGTTAATCGAGTAGGTCGATAGGGGCATTTCCACGGCTGTAGTAGTAGTATACCCCATTCGAGAGACAGACCTCAGGATAATATATGGAGGGTTATTGTCAAGAGAGGTCGAGGGTATCCACTGTTGCAAGTAAACAGATGTATTGACAATTTCCGCCCAAAAGTCAATAGGTAGTCCAGCATCGAGCAGAATAGAACGGGCACGTGTGGTTATTGTCTGTACCATAAGCTCTGCTATACCATTCTGGTGTGGTGAATAAGGTACAGATGGTTCAAAGCTTATCCCTTTCTCTCTGAGAAGTCCTTTAAAAAGCTCATTGTCATACTCTCCACACCCGTTGTCTGAGCGAAACCGAGCGACTGGAAACTGTGGGTAATGACTTTTTTGGTAGTTCAGGAACTCCAGGAAGGCATTGGAACATAGTTCTGCATTCTTTCTTTGCAGAAAGTACACATATGTTATGCGTGTAAAGTCATCGATAAATAGTATAAAGTAGCGAGAGCCAGACTTCGAAGGTGGCAAAGGTCCACAACTATCTGAATGTATTAATTCATATGGTCTGGATGTTCGTTGTGCTGACTTTCTTGAGTAGTGTCTCCGTAGTTTAGATTTTTTGCAAGTGATACACTCATCTCTCCTGTTTATATCTATCCGATTATTAGGATAGGAGACACCAGGTCCGGAGTTCAAATCTAGGATTCGGGACAGTACAACATCATTCACATAGCCTAACCTGCGGTGCCAACTATTCCATTCCGGATTCTTGTATACCCTTTCTGAACCAAGTTCTGCAAAGTATGCCTTCTCAACTAGGGGCACCTGGGCTAAGCTTTCACCTCTTATCCAAGCTGACTCTTGATTAATAACCTCTTAAAGCCCATCCACGAGATATGCGAACAGGTCGTACAGTGGATCAGAATTCTCTTCAGACTTTAGCAAACAAACACTGTTGTGAAAGTGGAGTTTGTATCCAAGCTTGTCCAATTCGGAGATAGAGAGAAGTGAGACCCGGAATTCAGGAACATATAGAGCATCAATCTTGACTCCAGATATGTCTACCAGGCCTCGATAGAGAGTAGAAACTGAGGCATGAGTACCTAGCCTGATGTGATGCGGTGTAGTGAGTTTGTAGAGAGAGAGAAACTGTGACCACTTATTGCATATGCTATCCGAAGCCCCAGAGTCAAGAATCCATTTATCATATAGTTTTATAGTATTACTCCCTTTATTACCCATCTTGACTTGCATAAAGGCCTCCCTGGAAGTGTCCACAGGCCTCTCCAGTAGAGTAGTATATTGAATAGTTGAGAGATTTATGTAGGGATATATATTTAGGTCATTTCTATTAACGGGTCCATCATCAATAGTGCTTGCCATAACGGAGGGAAATAGTGGGTCGGCTAGTCATAACAGTTTGGGAGACGTATTCGAAACTATTTGTGAGATGCTTGTACTTCTTGGATCGTCCCTTAAGTCTATATTATCACTACCGCTTGCTTTCCAGGTAAGAAGCGCATCTCTTCCTCGGGGATGCCTGCATTTGAGTCAATGCAGTATATCTACACTCACGACTTCTGTGACCCCTCTCACCACATGCGAAGTAGTTGCCAGCTGAAGGAGTACCCCCAATAGATGCTCCACTCATACCACTAACCACCCCAGTAGGTTGGTTTATTGCTTGAACTTCAGGACACATGTTGGCACGGTGACCCTTTTGTTTACAGCGAAAGCAAGTACCCAAGAAGACAAAAGGCCACTTGGTTCCATAAGGTGAGGTGTGGTAAGAGGAATTGACCCTTCCAAAGGATTGATTTCGACTCTGCCGGGTAGCCAACATTGTATCTGATAGCAACACATCTCCAGATACCTGAGATGTATTTCCTGACTGAACTTCCTTCTGCCTGGCGATTTCTGACTGTTGAATTTTGCGAATTACATCCTCAACATAGAGGTCTGCTTCCTTTTCATAGATTATTTCAACTAGGTTGTTGAAGGTCGAAGGCAAGGAAGAAAGAAGTTTGTCCTTAAAACTAGTATCATCAATCTTTTGTGCACTTGCTGAGAGCTGAAATCGGATGTCGTGTAAGAGAGATATAAATTCCCCCAAGGGGCGTCCCGGAACTGGTATTAGACTAAGAAACTGTCGGCGAAGGACAAGGCGGCCATTAATTGATGCCGCCTTATCCAATCTCTCCCGCAAGATGTCCCACATTTTTCTTGATGTATCTAGACCTGTCAGGTATAGCCTTGAAAGCTGGAGAGGTAGATCCAAGGATAACTCCTTTTGCTTTAGCTTCCAGCTGATGAAAGCTGTCTCTCGCTTCTTGAAACTCTTGAGTGTAGCCAGACGCACTGGGCTCACCTGCTATACTACTGCTTGCCAAAGGAGTAGGAGGAGTGGCAAGACCTATGACATGATCGTATGCCCGTATAGCTTGCAGGTGGATAATGATAGCATTTTTCCAAACATTGTAGTTGGAATCTGTCAGGAACGGGATGTCACCTGCGTACTTCGACCGGTAGTAGGAGATCATTTTACCAAGAAGAAAATGAAAAGGGATGAGGGATAACTGAACTGAGAAGATGAAAGCAGGGAAGCCTATCTCAATGACTGTGGTCTTAGAGAATAGCGAGAATTGAGATAGAAACAAGCAATAATAAGGCAAGCGACGAAACCGGGCTCATAACCTGTTACGAATTGTATCTTAGAAAGTGATGAATTTTATTGTCCGAAGAAGAGTAGTTAGAAAAGAAAAGAAGGTGTAGAACAACATGAAGCAAACTCTGGAAAAAACACTGGGAATCGTCTGAACTACGGAAACGCATACGCAGCACTCAGTACGTACCCTACGCACATTCACCGTAACAAAATCGCCAATGAGTATCGGCGTTGGGGTAAGGGGTTTCTAGGGAAAATGTCTACCACGGCTTCCGTCAATCAAAACGATGTGCAGGAGCTTACTCAATGATCAGCGGTAATTCTCGCTTCTTTGGGGGCTTGGCAAAGGCACCGAGTACAATAAGTACGGTAGGAGTATGATACTTGTATACACGAATAATGTGTACAGTACCCACAGCTTTCTAGGCGGCGTGGGTCAGACGCTGCCAGTGCTACTGGTGATATATGATACCACACATGCAAACTACGCATTCTCTCATCCCGGGCAGACGATACCAGCCGGGGCGCTCGACCATTTGGTCCACTCACCTCACCCAAGAACACGACTCCACGAAACCGAATTTCTGAAAAGCGAAGCATTGGTCATTGGATATCTGATACACAGTCCAAGCGCAGCTAGTCCGACTCGAGAGCCGGGGAGAATCTACCCCCACCCTGCCCGCTTCGCCGAGTGAGACTTAATGAATCACAACCGCAAAAAAGCCATCAAACAATCACCAATCGATCTTGATGAAAAAAAAAACACCCGTGATAAATTTTCCCTAAAAATGTCCTCTAGCTCAACCGATGCAAGAATATCCACAGACACAAACCCCGCAAGATCAACATCCGGATACAAAAAAAGATACAGAAAAAAGTCAATTGGAAAGAAGCAAATAATGGAAGAAACTCCACATAGAGTCCAACGGAACTTAGGATACACCTTCATCCATGTAAATAGATCGCGAAAAAAGGCATACGACGAGGCATTCTAGACTTCTTTCCTATTCGGTGAACCTACTAGCGCGGACCCCGCCCCCACCGCCCCAGGGAAGAACGGGGTTATGTGGTCGTGACTGTTTCCACGGGGGAAGTGGGTGGAGCGGATCACCTCTGAACGTTCGAGCTCTGACATGTTTGTCACAACACTTTCACTGGAAAATACCGACGAGGAGCGCTCGCGGGTGGGGCCGGCTGTGCCAGTCGGTAGGGACGAGGATGATGCGGTATAAGAGCCTTGGTGGAGCATAAGGCCGGGGGGGGTGGAAATGTGCAGAGAGTTGCGGTTGCTGTTAGTTCCCTGGAGTCCAGTATCAAGCGTTGACAGAGGAGGTTGGGATTGGATTGAGGACTCGTAAGCGTAAAAGGTTGCCCAGTTATCAGCAGAATACATGCGAAAGTCCACCGTCTTTTGTTCCATACGGAGAATGGCATCGGAGAATTCCTTTTCGAGGGAGAGACGATGCTTCTCAACATTCTCTCTCTCGGCTTCCCTCTTTCGGCGGGTCTCAATATTCTGCTGATGTTCCTTCTCGAGCTTCTCGAGATCGACACAGAGTTTACCAAGGCGTACTGTCAACCTTTCCTTCTTTTGCACCAGGCTCGCCGCTTCTGACTCGACTGTTGAGGTCTGGCGGTCTGCCGCTTCTTTCACCTCCCCAGCCTGACTTTGTGCGGACAAAAGTTTATCTCTCTCCTCACGCCAACCCCTTTTCTTGGCTTTCCACTCTGCCTTGAGCTTGTCCGGAAGGTTCTGCAGCCCTTCAATCTCCTTTGTCATTTTCTCGGTCTCCTCATCAGCACGCTTGATGGATTCCTTCAATGCCAGGATTCTTCGGAATGCCCGCTCATCGCCACGGTCATTCCCTAGGAGGGATCTATTCTTCTCGGTTTCCTTCCGAATATCGCTCAATGCAGTCTTTTGATTTTTCTTGACGACCTTCAAACGGTTCTTCTTCTCGGTGAGGCAAGAGCTTGCCTGCGATAAGCTATGCATAAGAGTGGTAATTGGTGATAGAGGCCTCGAGGGTTGTTTGGTGACAGGAGGAGCAGCCGAGGAAGCTACGCAGTATTAGACTCGAATCCCTTCAATTAATCTAGGGTAAAACATACCTCGAGCAGGCATTGTGCATGCACTTGCCTGGTAGACTATCTTCCCACCCTTCTTGACGAACTCAAAATCGTACTCGGTTGCTCCAGTCAGACCAGTGATATCGATTATCCACTCCTCTTCCACATCACCCGTGATGACTCCATTCTCCTTATCCCCATCCCCACCTCGAATATATTTTGAGATAACAGTCTGTGGCCACACAATGCCGTTCACCCGAACAAACAGGGGAAACGTCCCGTCCTTCCCGCTCCCATCAATGCCATTTGTCAACGCTGCCCCATGCATCTCATAGCCAACCTCGCCGTCAATTCTCGCCCCCAGAAATCCAGCACCAAACGCAATGTCCGTTGATCCAATCCTCGTTATCCACACTCGCACATCTTCTCCGCCCGACGCTGATTCATTAGGAGCAGTACCAGTCTCAAGAGCATTGGGGTTTGAAGCCGCAGACGAGATCTTGGACCGTTCCACCTCCTTTGCAACGTGCACCATCGCGCTCGCAATCGTAGCCCATAAAGGCTGGTTGTTTCTGATATTTTGTATTAGATTATTCTTCTTTTTTCTCTTTCCACCCCCTGTACTGTTTTGTCGTTCCAAAGGCTGGGCCGGTGCTCCGGCCGCCGCCTCCGGGTCCTTGTCTTTTAGTTTTCCAGATGCCAAAGAGGAATCTTTGACACCCGGGGGGCTGCCCGACGTAGGAGAATCTCCTGAATCGGACCTCATCAACCACCTTCTGGTCGCCCTCATAATCCCCTGCGCAACGATGTGAATGGCTATAGCACTTCGGATCCATCCAGCTGATGACATTCGTGCAGTTGATGGTCCAATCGCCTCGCCATTGAAAAGAGCCACCGGAGTTGGCGCTGCCCCATCCCACACATCTGCCAACCTAAATCTCGCTTGGACCACTTTCACGCCTCCCATAACACTAGCGCACACGGCCGCATTCCTCATTGTCCCCCCACTTTGATCCGAATATCCAGCACCGAGAGAAATAGCAACAACAGCTTGGGCAAAGTCGACAAGGAAAGTGCGGGCAGAAGGCCACAAAAACATGGAAAGAAGAGCAACGAGGATATCTGCGAATATAATTGTGAGTAATGATGGTGCTCCATTCGAACCCTGTAATAATAGGTTCGTAAAGGAGGGTAACGAAGATGTTGTTGAAGCGCTAAGAAGGGTAGTCGACGGTGGAACAAATGTCAGGGACGCAAACAAAAAGTGAATAATTGTAAGAACTGTGGGCGGTAGCTGTAAAAATAATATCAAAAGCATAATGGTATCGAGCAAAGGAAAAGAGGGGAGAACAGTAGAGGGGATTCCCCCGGCCATTGCTACTTTCCCCGAGGGATCAAAATTGATTTTACTGTGTTCGGCTGCGACGGTACCATCGGTTCCATTTGCAAAAGCCTCACCCATATCCTCGCCAGAACCATCATAACTCCCCCCATTCTGATTCCCATCCCAACCGTTGGCATAATTTGCGCAGGATCCATCGGCGTTGACTGACTGAAATTGACTGGCCGCGGAGGGAATTTGCTGATTCGGAGTTTGTTGGGTCAAAGTCGCGGCAGCTAAAGTAGAGACTGTAGAACCGCTACCAGTAGACCCGGGCTGAGAGGGACGTTTCATTTCATTATGATGGTTCTGGCGTTTTGGAAACGAGCCACCTGGTGGGCCTCGTGGCATCGGCAGCTGGATGTTGTTTGGACGACCCAGACCAGCTCCGAGCCTGCTCGACACAAACAATCCAGGAATAAAAGGAACGGGACCCACCAAACTTTTGCGGTGAAGTTGGACGGAATGGAAGGGGATAAGAACGAAGGGGGGGCGTGTGGTAGAAGTGTGGTGGAGGGGTTCGACGAAGGGGTTGCCAGGTGGATGAATAAGATGAGTGGCGTGGGGGTTAGGCTGGATGCAAGTTCGGTTCGAGTTGAACGGGAAGGAGAGCACTCTGGGGAGGGTTGATGGGGTGTTGTAAATAGGTTGTGCTAGGAAGGGGGAAGGCTGCCTGAGTCAAGGGGGGGAGTTAGTGCTTTTGTGGGAAACCACGACTGCCGGAGGGCGGAAGAAATCTACGCCCAGCCTAGCCTAGTCAACCAACCGGGGGAAATGGACGGACGCAGGAAAAACCCCTTGGGTTTACAGTACGAGTATGATACCTCGGAACATGCCCATCATTCAAAGCACTTACCATAAAAGGATACCGGTTGACTACTAGTACACTCGGCTGTCACAGGTTATGGTCGAAGTCCGTATCACACAAAGACAATATATATTTCTTTGACAATACCCGAGTACACTATCCATCAGCATTCATTTCTTTCATATACACTACTACCCATCTACGGGTACATTAAATACCAAACTACTGGCAATGTACGAGCACCAGGGTCGCTCAAAGACCCGCACTAAGTTACCGGTATGCACCCGTGTTATGATGGGGGTGCCTATCCCCTAAGAAAATTCCGGTAGAAATGCCGGAGCGTGATGAATGGGCACAAGCACATTATTCCCTTGACCTCTTCCTCACCCTATGGCATGAATTGCGAATCTCTAGATCGATCATGCTAGAAACGGTGAACCGTTTAGTCTACTCCTACTTTCGCAAGCAAGGAGTCCCCGGAAACAGGGGTCGTGGGTTTGGATGAGGGCTAAGAAATAGGTACGGATTATCTGCGACATACCCCGCCAATCCTTGCTTTCTGGCACTCTCTGCTGCTAAGAGTAACCTACCGCTCAGATGTACCCCTAAAATCGGATGAAGTGAAGTTTGTGTGATGAAACATCGTGACCCTCACCCCCGTTTCCCTCTAGGTAATAGAGTTACGGCGTGATACATAGCGTACTTGCAGTGCAGAGGGAAGGGAGTTGTGTGATGTTCATGCCCAGACTAACTCTTACATCCACCGCGGTTATCCTGTGCGACTACAGTACTGTACAGTACAATAGAAGAGTATAATCTACATAGTCCCCGCTCCAGGTGCTTTCCCATTTTCCCCTAAAGGATCACATCCGGGGGGAATTTTAGATATGGGGGCTTAGATCCATGCTGTGTAATTCTTGTACTTATCCATGGGTATAATTGGCATTTCACATCACTAAAGGCGATAACACCCACGTCTCAACACCACAGGCCTACGATATTTGAGATTGTAAGCATAAATTACCATCCGGATTACGCTACTCGAGCACCGATGGCCCAGAGTTCATGGCAAGAGGAGTAAACCCCCCCCTCCCGAATACCGTGCACGGGGCATTATTAGCGGAGTAGGTGGCGGTGGGCCATCCGACTATCTCATGCAATTCCCTGCATAGGCCTAATCCACACTCTCACCCTTCACCTTGCGATAACGAGGGGACCGGGATCTCATTCATTCCTGGCAAATTTCTTTGGAAAAAGAGGAAATTCTCGATCGAAATCCTCAACATCCACACACCCGCCAGGCAAAGGGTAAAAAGAGGGCGAAAACTAGGGGAGAAGAATAGTGAATTCTTGGCTAACTCTAGGGAGAAAAAAAATTCAAGAGGAATTAGCAGCATCCAAAAGTCCAGTAGCGCTGCGTTCGAGTAGAAGGATCGCCCAAATAAGAAAGCAATCCACAACGGCCACTACTCCGATCGATTCATACTCTTTCTAGAAACCAGGTTCCCGAGATAAACTCCCAAGGGACCCTCATCCAACTAACAAAAAACAACCCTTTCGCAAAAGGGCGGCTTGGGAAGGTCCAACCCTATCGTTTTTTCGTTTCTTGCACCCTTCACGCTACAGTACTCACCACCGCCTGCCGCCCCATCCCGAAAGGGGAACAATATAATAAGATACCGATATGGTATACAGGACATACTTTATTTAAACGATTGACTCGTCCGACGCATTACTGGAGCCACGTATGAAAAATCGCACATGAAATGTTTTATGGGGTTGACTTTTCTGGGCAGGTGAGAGGAGAGGGGAAGGAAGGGACAACTGTTCTGTGATATAGTACCCGTATACCAGTCACGCGGTAGCTTCACCGGCTGGCACTCGGGAGCTCCAGCATTAGGTGGCTCGGAGGATTTCCTGTGGATGGAGGTTTGCCCGAATGGACTCACCGCTGCGATTGATTCTGTCTTGTGATCTCTCGGCCCACTGGGGACGAGATGGGATTCGGTAGGGGATTTTCGGGTGGCATACTTGCAAGGCTCCCGGGCTTTGGGGGGTCGTTTTGAGAAATAGATTAAATTTTGATAGTGAATTGGATAAGCTAGCTGCTGCTAAAATCCTTTGTGATAATGGATTGGTATTACCCGGTACGATGCACCTGACCGATAAGAATAAACTCTTCTAATGTTTGCCTCCCTGAATCGCAGTGGTTACGGGTGTTTAGGTATCAATGGCGCCCGCAGCATCATCTCCCAACAAACCCCCGTGACAATTGGGTCCCGAAGCAAGAATCCCCAACGTGGGGCAAACACTCTCTTCCACTTTAATGTCCTGGAAAGTCTCACTGATCGTGCCTGGAATGGGCCGGATTTGAAGCCTACTCGAGTACTGCACAAACGGCTGTCCACTTACCGAGAGTAGCGTTTACCCCCAGGGAATACCCGGTTGAATCTACCGGCAGTAATCATCGACGCTCCATATCAGATTCGGTCCGGTAGCTTCGGATGTATAGTAGATATGATGTGCTTGTCAGGTTATTCCCCTGAGACTGGAATACTCGAGTAGTTGATTATGCGGACAGCTGAGACGGTGGCAATAATAATGTGAGATACCGTGAGGCGAGCTGTTTACTGCAAGAGTACGAAAGGGGCGCCGGTAGCGCACCTTATCGGTGTCCTTCCCAAGCAGTCCAAAAGTTAATCTGACTAGGGTGTTGTTGTCTGTTTGTTGATAACGACTCAACTTTGATAGACCGATGCTGGCCTTATACGGTACTTCCCGGCGCGCAGGTGTCTCGCCGTGTGTAGCTACTGATTTTCGCAACAGTGACACCAATATTGATGCTGAGCCTTTTCCTAAAGCACCCCGAGATACTCTAAGTGCCTACCCTATCTTTGATGCACGGGCACGCAATTTCTTTCACTGCTCTCACTCGTCTCACGAGAGGAATTCCAGAGGTATTCCAAGCAACTCGGATACCGAACCCCACTCGCCCTCCCGGAAATTCCGTGTAAGATCAGGACGCGCAAGCCGGCGCCTACGGGTAACTAGTATTGGTAGCTCCACCCAACTATCACGTGCCACATACATCGATCACAACAAGGGCTGCGGCCCCCGCAATCCAAAGGCGGGGTATGATAGGAATAGGTTGGTCGACCATGTCAAAAGCATGAGCACGTATCGAGGGGGAAACTACCCTACGTATCGAATTGGCCGACCACGAGGGGAGCATCTTGCAAACCAGCCTGTTCGCTAGAGATACATTAGGAGGTGATATATACCTGATTCGCTGCGGTGGTAGTGGTTGACTTAAGGGATCGGCAGTTTAAGTCCGGGCTAGTTGTCAGATTCGGGATCGGAGATTGACGACCCGATTGGGGAGGGCACAGGGTAGTGGTGGCGGTCTTTGCTGGATAGGGACCGGCGACGCGAGGTCGGTTGAGGTACCGGTACCCTGTGTTTCTTTCGAACGTCCTATCATATCATACGTCGATTGAGGGGCAGCTAGAAGCTCAGCGTGGAGTTCCCGAGTGAGATGAGATGATCAATCGTTGAAAGGGGTTTAGGGTTATTCCTGTAGTACCCGCGAGCTATCTTTTCTATGATATTTCCCAGTATGAGGGGAGGGAGGGATTGATGATGGACGACGGGCAAATCGTTGGGGTACTAGTGCTGCACATAGGCTGACAGTTAGCCTAGACACTCGGGAAACTGCAGTCCACAATCTTGCTGTCGATAAAGTGAGCCACCGAGAGGTTGGTGGCACGAACGGAAATCGCGCGGTCGATAGAGGCGCCGGCCAGGAACACAAAAGGAGACATCCCCTGCTTCCCCTAAAGCTAAACGCTTTGTGGGACATCAAGAAACTAAACACCGCGAATGCATGATACAGTACTATCGTACTAGGGAGCCGAAGGTATCATAAGCCAAAATGCAAAGATATTGGAGATAGGGATTATAATTTTGCTATACGAACGAGCAAGCAACCAAGTTGCTCACACAGAGCACATGCAAAATCTTCCTGCAATATCCTCACATCTTCATCGTCCCCGAATCAGAGCATGCCATCATAGCAGAATTACATCATAGAATCTCCATACCTTTCCCACTCCCCGGCCGCTACGGGAGCTATCGTGCCACCGTATGAATCCATCTCCCATTACACGCGCAGCAGCATTACCCACTAAATCCGGGGATCCACCTTTCACCCTTCAAAAGAACAAGTGAAATTAATCCTTCTCGCGCCGAAATCACACCGAGTAAAGTAAAATACCTAGTATTCTATATGTCAAGAACCAATCACCCCCAACTCCATTATCACCGCTAGAGTTCCCCCCTTTCCAATCCTACTGTACCCGCCAGAGACGAACGATCCGCCAATGCAACAAGAGGATTAAGAAACCCCTACTACCGTATCGCGCTAATGAAATCCGAACACTGTGGTAATATGAAATTTTTTCCCACCCGAAGGGGTGTTTGTGTGGTGTGATATTATGGTGATACGGAGGATATATAGAATTTCAGGATTAAGGGGGGGTATATTGCCTTTTCTGACGGGCATCGCGAGTTGAGTAGGGCTTTCTCTCCCTCCCCTCCTGGTGCCGGGTGGGCATCACGAGTGATATTTTGTGAGGAAATTGTGAGCGATGGGAAGTGCGTTGGTTGTCTACTCCAGTGTTGAGTGCCTCCTGATTTGTTTTTGGTCAGTGTTTTTGGGGCGGGGTTTCGAAATGTGTATTGGGAAATGTTCGTTCACTGGATATCTCTTCACTTGGGTTCTTCGGGTATGATTTGTCGGTCCTGAGCAACTCGGGTATTCTAGAGTTAAAGTTATGATACTATAATAAAAACTGGCTCGAAGGGCGACGATAAGGCGGGCGGTTGTGTCTTATAGCAGCAGTGTTAGTAGGACGCGGGTTACATAAAGACGGATTTTGAATTTGCAATTCCTCCTGGTTAAACTGAGAAGTGAACGTAGAGAAGTTGAGGGGGGAACAAAAAAAACAAAAAAAAAACTCCAAGAGCAACTAAGGGTGTAAATCATGCTACTACTATAAGAGATAGAGAGTGTTTCACCGATCTCTAGAAATAAAAACCCGCCAACCGGCGAGGGTTGCAGAAAGCTCCTCCTCCTATATTGCGATAACTTAGAGCGGTGCATATGCCAATACCCGACCTCTATCAAATGACCTCGGGGGCCCAAGACTTGTTTGAGATAAGATTGCTCCCGTATTTCTTCTGGCAGTAAGTTCCTTAGTTCCACCACAGAACGAGCACGTTTGTCCAAAGATTGCTCGTGTGAATTCGTCTATCTCTCTTCGACAACGACGACGACGATGACAAAATTCTATAATCACTTCTGTATAGGGGGGTAGGAGGAAAAGGTCTAAGTATGTGTCCCTTTTTCGTCAATAAACCCGCGTGATCATAATCACCACCATTCTCGGAGCGGAGGTAGTGGCGGCCGTACCATTAATCAGCCGCTGCGACCTATCAACATTCTCCCGACCGCATGAATACTGAACCGAACCTCAAATAGTTCGTCAGGAGTTGTACAATTGTTTCTTGGCACCCCTGCCATGCATAATCCAACGGTGTCAAGTCGAAGATGTCTTTCAGATTGATGTTGATGTCGCCACAGTCCAGCAGAAATCGCACCGCCGTTTCATGGCCCATTCTGACTGCTAGGTGGAGTGGTGTGTGCCCACGTTTGTCTTCGGTGTTTATGCTGACTCTGCGGTCGCCGAGGAGGAGCTGCAGGACCGTCGGGCGCCCGGTGGTGTTGGTAGAGCCGGCCGCGCAGGAGAGTGGGGTCCAGCCGATGCTATCCCTCACATTGACGTCGATATCATCCCGGTTTAGCAAGAAACGCACTACAGCCTCGTGACCCATCGTGACCGCCGTGTGGAGGGGTGTGCGGCCGTTCTTGTTCCCGAGGTTGACGTCGATTCTCTTGTCGTTCAGCAGGAGCTGTATGGATGCTAGATGGCCTGTCGGGTTCATCGCGTCGGCGGGATAGGACAGCGGCGTCCAACCCATTTTGTCCTTTGGGTTGACGTTTATCTCGCTGTGCGCGAGGAGGAGACGCACGACCTCATCGCGGCCGTTTATGACTGCAATGTGAAGCGGTGTGAAGTTATTTTCGTTAGGCCAGTTGACATTGACCCTCTCGTCATCCAACAAAAGCTGGACCACTTCATAATCACCCACCTCAACTGCCATATGTAGCGGTGTGTTATTTCCTCTATCAGTCGAGTTGACATCGATACCATCCCTGTCCATCAGTAGTTCAACCGCCTCCAAGAGCCTATGTGTTGCCGCCAGGGCCAGTAGAGTCCGACCTTCGGAATCCCGGGTTTCCGGATCGCAACCACACGCCAAAAGTGTCGGGAGGGCTTTCTCGCCCCATCTCCGTTCATGGTCCAATAAAATCCTCTTAAGTAACTTCCTTTCGTCCAAGCGTTTAAAGATCCCGCCGTCGATCAGCCGTTTGGCTGCGAGCTCGTCGCCACGGGTCACAGCCGAATATAGAGCACCCTTGGCGTACCGCTCTGTCTCAGATAGAGAGTGAAGAGCACAATCAAGCAAAGCATCGCTCAGGAGGTTCGCGAGACGGCGGTTCGTTCTCAGAAGGGAGCATAGGTCTGGCGGGGACTGATACTTCGAGACTTGGAGGATTATCTCGTTCGGTATCCCGAGGAATAGCATGGTAATTTCTTCCTTCGAAATAAGATCGTATGAACGATCGAGCCACAGGACAGCTGGAATATATTAACTCGACCAGCGCCCGGCGAACAGGTTCGAGATTTGGGTGGTTTCTTCAGGGGCGGTTATGGGTTTCAGTAGTGGACACAGTAAATTGCACTAAAGCGGGCTTGCACTTTCTGGTGCCCAGTGATGATGACTAAGGACAAGTAATCTCAAATCTTCGGGATTTACGAGTGAAGATCCGTGAACGGTTGTACTACATGATAGATTTCCACTCTTATATCAGAGACTAATCAAGGTGGTATAAGAAGGGCATACATCTAAGGGATTCCTAATTCGTTGATAGTAAGTAATATCAATATGCTACTTTGGCTATCAACAATACCCCTCGGATAATAAGGATGGTTGGTGACCAACCTAGATAAATTATGGACACAGAGGACAAGAGAATGGTCAAGGTCTTGGCCAGAGCTGAAGATTTACAGGTATGATTGACGTTGGAAATAGCATACGATATTGGCCGACGGCTGATGCGGGCGACTCTCGGTAGCCCAACCTTCGGCTATGCTACCAGTTGGGACAGGGATGGGATGAACTAAAGGTTTCATTCGAACAGGCGTCGCGTTTCCCATTTACCAAGCCCTAGCCTACTCGAGAAATGCGCGCAGGTCAAGGCACCACGCCGGTTAAGCATCCACTGCTTTAGCTTCAAAATATTAGAGAACCGATTTTGAAAATGATTTTTGGCTACTGGTTTTTAGTTTTCTGGAGAAAAAGGTGTCATAGTCTAGTACCATTACATGGGCTCATCTGCTGCCTCACGTGGTAGAATCCACCATGATTGTCTCTTCCAGATTCGAGAATCGCTCAAAGTATTTCTTGAATAATTTCACAGCGTATTTGATGTCGTGAGCGCCACTAAAGAGTGTTAGTTCCTGATAATTGCGGCAGGATGAAAGACTTACCCTGTCTCACGAATAGAATGCATGCTCAACTGTGCGTTTCCCATGTCAATAGTTCTGGTACCTAGAGAAGCACTCAACATTGGCCCAATCGTGCTACCGCAAGGACTATCGTTTTTAACAACGAAAAGTTGAAGGGGTACCCCGGCCTCCCTAGCAACCTCCTCGGTGAGAACAATGCCAGGCGAGTTGGTAGCGTAGCGCGCGTTCGCATTGACCTTGATCACAGGGCCCTTGTTCATCTCAGGGCGGTGATGGGATTCGTATTTCTCTGGGTAGTTGGGATGGACGCTGTGTGCCATATCGCAGGACCATAGCATTGACTTGACAAGAGTTTCCTCATAAGCTGTCGAGTCAGAAGTGTTACCATCACCGGCGAGGACTGAGAGACGACGAATTACGGCAGGAAGAAGATTTGAGTGTGCTCCCTGCGCAGTTAGTGAGCCAATTTCCTCATGATCGAATAAGCTGATTAGTCGGATTCCTGATTCGTCGTCGAGAGCATTTTCTGGCTCTAGAGATTCGATGATTGCCTCAGTTGCACAGTAAGACATGGTGAGATTATCGAGACGTGCGGAGAATATAAATTCATCACTGATGCCGCCTAGGCAACTAGCCTGGACATCGTATAAAATCATCTCGAAGTCAAGGACATCGCCTGCGCAAACACCGGCTTCTTCGGCAATGAGGTCCACAACAGCAGGGTGGTGACGTTCGGTCATAGCCATGAGAGGTTTGAATCCATCTTCAATTTTCTTTTTGGGTTCCTCGGTTGTAGAAGATGAGGGTTTGTTGAGAGCCGCGGTGGCAAGACCCGTAATTGGAAAAAGATGAGTTTCCTTGTTAAAAGCGAAAGTCTCTTGACGGTCGAGATGAATCGCAAGAGTGGGTATCCTCAGAATTGGCTTGTTGATTTTGATGAGCGTTGAGACTATGGATCCATCGGATCGACGGACCATAGCGCGACCAGCAACAGAGAGATCACGATCGAACCCTTGTTTCCGACCTTTTGTTAGAACCAGATGTCATGTAGGGTTTGGCTGCGCGCGAAGATCGAGTGCGCTTGATAAGTTGGCCACGATGGCGGGGGAGCCTACAAGTATGCCATAACCCGCCTACGGATAAGGCCCGTTAATAAGCACCCCAAATGTGGGGCCGAAGAGATCACTCACCTCCATAAGTCTCAACGCCAACCTGCATAAAAGAACCCTTCTCTGCAAACCTCTTCGAGACAGGCTTGACACGCAAAGCTGGGGAATCCGTGTGAGCTCCAAGCAGAGCCATTCCATTCCCGGGCTATTTGTGCCAACGTGGTCAGCAAACACAGGAAGCTCGGCTGATTTACAGAAGCCCCCCTCAAAAAGTATAAACTAGCAATGTCATGCAAACCTTCCACTTCTTCCCAACGCCAAAGGCTATCAAAGAGGATCCATTGCGAGTCAAGAAGTACCGACCACCAGCTTTAACTGCTTCTGCCCATGAATCACGCTCCTACCCACATGGTTAGCCACTTAGCATTACACCTTTTGGGTGGGGGGATTCTAACTCGAATTTCACTAAATCCTGCCCCCAAAAGCCGTTGCTTGGCGGATTCGACAGCATGGAAAGCTAGATTTGTTAGTTAAGATAAACCGGGAGGACATCTTGGAGCCCCACTCACGGGTTGGTGAAGCGTTAACAAAGGATAGAAAATCAAGGGCGTACTTCTTCGAGCTTGAAGTCATGGTTTGTCGGGAAGATGTGCTGGCAGTCAATTCGATAGCAATTTGTATGTGTTTTATGCTAAGTTTGTGCGGGGGAGAGGAGACTAAATAAAGTTGGGGAAAGAGGGGAATCCGGACAGCTGAGCCTTGGAGGTCACACGCGAGGTGGTCCGGGCACGGTGATTTATCTGATCCAAATTGTGGACCCTGAGGATCTGATAAGCAAATACCCATGCGAGCTCAATTACCGGTATGATTCTCCGTTTGGAACATCACACTATGAAACTTGCTTGGGCCTTCTCTTATCTTATGTGTCGCTAGTATCAGGCCAAAAGTCAAACTGAAATATGACTATCAAGTTCACGACATAAGAGCAACTCTTTCCCCGAGTCCGAGCTTCTATCGAGATGAATTCGGATTTCACCTCAGGGAAAGTCCTTGAACCAAAGCATATGGAGCGAGGGAATGCCAGTGCTTATTTGTGCGCTATTTGTTGTTCTGATTATCCGCAGAGCCGTCGGATATCAAGTATCTTAAAGCGGCAACATCAATAATTCAGTACTCGTGCAAGTACCGTACTGTGACTAACAAGTGAGCTAATTGTATCAGTGTTGCTAGCCGCAAGCTTCCACCATTCGAAGATACATGGGCAAATCGCGTGTTGCGCGAAGGCACCTGGGATATTTTCCTCAGTTACAGACTTGATGTATTTGCGCATCACTGGTGTGTTTAATCGCCATTTATAATTACTTTTTAACTAAGCTTCCATGAAAAATTCAGGAGGTGATTTGTAAGAATGTGGTACCTTAGGATACCATTGTCGCTTCCACCGCAGAGAATAGAAGGGGAACGAGCAGGGTTCCCAGGACAACGCAGGGTGTATTGTTCAGCACTCCTTCCAAACAGAGGGGGGCTGACTTCCCCTTTGGATCGCATTGATTGTTAGTTGCCCAGTTTTTGTTTACTTTCGCAACCGCGCCCCCATCGCCCACCTCGCCTGTCCATCATCACCCCTACTTGCACGACAACCACACACACCCCTCCACAACCACTCTCATCAACACCCAGAACTTCGTCTCCGCCGACAATTGATCCAAGTCCGTTCGTCGTATACTGGCGCTAGATCGCTTCTCTGGTGCGATTCATAATTTTTTTTTCGGCACGCCCTCACCATCGCCACAACACCTCCCAAGCTAGCTGCCATTAGGCCCCGCTAGCTCCCCCAATTCCACCATGAGAGGTGGTTCCGAATTCGAGAATCGGGTTCGACACAGCACCTCGAAGCCGCCAAAGACCCCAACGGAATCACCTGCTTCAAAACAAACTGTTGGTCCCGACGCCGATGCCCTGAGAGCGGCTTTAAGCGATGCTGTAGCGACACCGGCACCTTCACCGAGCAGGAAGCGGCAGCGAGTAATCTACGGTGACCGGTATGTTAGCATTTCTCCTTTGATGACGATTGTTTGGGTAGATGGTGTGGGGATTTGAGCGGATGGGAAACTAAGTGGTGATACATACAGATTTATTCCAAATCGTGAAGGCATTGATTTGCAGGCAAGTTACAGTTTACTACATGCCGAGGGATCGCCCTCAACACCCCAGAAACCCCAGAAGAGGACACCCCATGGTGAACTTCACTTTCAAAAAAGTGAGCTACCAGCCTCCTTTCCGACGAAAAGTGACCAAATCATCCTAATTCTGAAATTTATAGCCGAAGAAGCGAACCGTACCTTTTCGACACTTCTTCGATCAGAGCTCTTCCATAATGAAATACCACAATCTACACCTGCATCTTTAAGTACTCGTAATTCTGCTGTTCGGGAGGCTCGAGCTCGCACACCCCCAACAAGTAATGGATCATCTACAAAAGCTCCCTCAACACCTTCAAAAAATTTATTCACATACATGTCACCGAAAACTCGAACGCCTCAAACTCGACATGGGCCGAAGGTTGATACCAGGTCTGAGATATATTCCCTATCTCCTGTGAGGTTTGATAGTCAACGCATGCTGTTATCGCCACGGAAACAGCCGAGAACGGTCAGCAAAGTACCCTATAAAGTACTCGATGCACCCGAACTAGCCGACGACTTTTATCTGAACCTGGTAGATTGGGGAAGCACAAATATATTAGGAGTTGGGTTGGGTAGCTGTGTTTACATGTGGAATTCAGCATCTGGCATGGTGACCAAGTTGTGTGATTTGGGAGCAGATGATACTGTGACTAGTGTATCTTGGATTCAGAGAGTGAGTAATTCGGGTTTTTCGCGCCAAATTTAGCGAGAATACTAATAATTTTTGTCAGGGATCTCACGTTTCGATCGGGACGAATAAGGGGTACGTCCAAATTTGGGACGCCAAAGAATGCCGCCGCCTGCGCGTGATGACAGGACACACTGCACGAGTTGGTATGTTTCGTCTTTGTACGTTTGTAATTATTCTTAACAATTTGATAGGGGCTCTTGCTTGGAACGACCACATTTTGACATCCGGTTCGAGGGATCGTACAATATATCATCGAGACGTGCGAGCACCTGTTCAATCTGTTGCAAAGCTCTCAGGGCACAAGCAGGAAGTTTGCGGCTTGAAGTGGAACTGCGAGGATGGTCAACTCGCGTCCGGTGGAAACGATAATAAGCTCTTTGTCTGGGACAAACTAAACGAGCAGCCGCTGTACAAATTTACTGAACATACTGCTGCCGTCAAAGCAATTGCCTGGTCACCACATCAACATGGGACGCTTGCTTCTGGCGGTGGGACAGCTGATCGGCGCATAAAATTCTGGAATACTCTCACTGGGCAGCCAATCAACGAGATCGATACTGGCAGCCAAGTGTGTAACCTTGCCTGGAGCAAAAACTCCAATGAGATTGTCAGTACTCATGGGTACTCGGAAAATCAAATTGTCGTCTGGAAATATCCTAGCATGAGCCAGGTCGTCAGCCTCACAGGTCACACCTATCGAGTACTGTACCTGGCCATGTCACCGGACGGCCAGGTCATCGTCACAGGTGCCGGAGATGAAACTCTTAGATTCTGGAACTGTTTTGCCAAGAACAAAAACGAAGGCCGCATAAGTGTGGCCCTCGATCCATTCCAACAGATAAGGTAGACCAGGGAAGGATTTGCATTTAATAACCCCAAATGGTCGAATATACTTAGGCTCCGGTCTCCACAGCCTTGGTTAATTCACGAACCCCCGTTTTCACTCTCGCTCGACGAAAACTCGGGGGCTCGCCGCCTGGAGTTTGCATATTGTTCCGATACTCTGTCCGTCCTATGATAGATGATCACCGGGAACCCTTCTGGTTTATTTCTCGTTTGTTTTGCCTTATCGATAACGTATCACGAATCTTCACGGTTGCACACAAGTGTCGGGTACTCAGGCGTCCGGAAATCTGTTGGGAAGGTTAAATTTCTTCAGTTGGGAAAAAAATATGGTTTCGGGGTTCTTTTTTTCCTTCTCCTTTATTCTCCTCTCCGGGTTTCTATATTTGATACGTTCGTCTTACACCTACCAATTCGAAATTTCCTTCTATACCCTTTTTCCAACCATCTGTTATTTTTGATTGCCTGGCGAAAAAAAGGAGTTTTTTTTTAATCCGTCATCTTCGTTTTGGGTACGTTTACTTTTCTCTTTCTTGTAGGATGATTTTTTCATTTCTTTTTTTGTTACCCCATTATATCACTTTTTCATTTTCTCTCGCTTCTTTATTTCTAGGTGGGGGGGGGGGATTTGTACGGCGAAGTTACGGCGACACTGGGAGGAATGTGTGCGAGGGGGGTATAAGGAGACAAATCTAGAGCGCAAATGTTCATATGATGTTAATTGTGCATGTGATACCATATGTGTCTTGCGGGATCGGGAGTCTGTTTTCGAAGTTGAAGACTGGAGGGGGAAAAGTAGATATGTCCTATTAATTATCACTAAGGCAATTTGGAATACCAACAACGGACCTCCCAGCGTGCCATTGCGTTTGGATAGCTATTATACAAGAACTACCTACCCCTCCTCGCTGGATTAATTCATAGGCCGAAAGCGGGAATAGTGTAGTACGATGAAGGGCTATGGTACCTCGGCCGGCCATTTTATCGAAAATGGCTATTGAATCCCGCGAATCCTTTCGAAAACATTTATACCCTACCTACCACCAATTTACAGTATATGCAATCCCTACCGGCATGCGGTCCGGGACGTCATTGGTCAGGGGCTGATAGTAAATGCTTTATTACCGTGAGTTGAGTAACCAAGTTCCACAACGCAAAAGAAAAACCCAATGAGAATATTGCCATAAGAGCCATGGTACAGTATAATAGCAGGTAAGTTATAAGCGCACGCCGCCAGCAGCCGAACGCCACAACGGTTCTCGATTTCTGTCCACTGGTTTTCTAAGAATACGGTAGACTTCTTCATAATTTAGTGGTAAGTTGATTTGGCCCAAAATTTGGCAGCGTCACGGAAACTGGTGCGGAATTCCATTGCCCGTCCGATTTTCAGGAGTGCCGGCTTTTCTATTCTCCTTGTCCACGGTTTTTTGCTAGACCAGTAGTTTTTTGACTACGGTAAACTGTTTTTTGTGCTACCCGATTTCTTCTCCTAATATGGCCGTGTATTGTGCATTACCGTACTTTTGTTTAGCTCATTGCCTTCATAATGCCGTGGGCCCCTTGCAAAACACCTTCCTAGGCCCATGTTCCTAGGGTGTCGAGGTTGACTTACGGTATCGGAGTACGAGTACGGTAGTTTCAATAACTTAATCCCAGCTAGTGTCATACTTAACTTAGCATCACGGCCACATCCCCCTAGTGATTATCGTATGGGTGTACAGAACCATGTATCTACCCCGTTAGGGTTCGGCCAGTGCCAAACACCATACCAGCCTCCCCTAAGCATTATTATGCGTACCACAAACCCGGGCGAAAAATCCCTTGAAACTGCGCTTGGTAAGCCAAATATACCGGGAGCCGGATCAATAGGTGCGCCATGTGCACTTCAGCCTTCGTGTGAGACAAGCCACCGGAAGGTAATTTTGACGTCAGGTGTTGACAGCGGGTATTTAAAGAATAGCTGGCATTGGGCAGAAAATCGAGCTCTACTCTAGCATGTGTGGAGGCAGGGTAGGCGGAAATTCGAGGTGGTTGGTTCGTCCGTTTTACTCGAGCACTGTTTTGGTTGCATATTAGGGTGTTGTGAAGGGTTAGGTCTTGGTCTTCTCATGCTGCCGCGGGGGGGGGGGTAACTACTTGTATGAGGTTCGAGAAGGGTAGGGGAGGAAAATGTGGAAAAGGGTCGCAAGGTTAGGGAGATAATTTGTTGAGGGGGATCGTTGGTTGTCCGGGTATGATACAATGCTTGAGAGCACTGACAGAGGACCAACCCGACGTTGAAAGTAATTCAAGCATTTGGCGTGAACGGAAATTTTTGGGAATTGAACCTTGATCACTTCGGGGACTTGGGGTAAAGGACAATAGGAACGAGTGATGAGGGGTGAAGGCGTGGGATACGGTTTTTGGACACTGGTATGATACCTGTAATCAAACTACTGGGCACCACCTCGTAGGCTGTGCACTCCGCATGTGCAGAGTGTGAAAACTTTGAAAAGGGTTCAGGCTTCAGTTTGCCAAATCGGGTTGAGCTAACTTATTGCATCCCAGGATACCAAAGCTTCCAACGCCTGGTAATCTTTAGGATAAAGTTCTTTGCCCTTGGGTAGGCCGGTGGTTTTACGCATTCGTATCTAGTGCTATTTGTACGCAGTGGCCTTTCGTTCACTTTTTTTCAGGCAGTGTCTTCATCATAAATACCATATCAAAAACTGGGGAACATCGCACAGAGGCAAGCACCAGAGTTCCTCCAAAACCCAACACAAATTTCCATTGAGGGGAATATCTTCACGGATCCACGCCCTCGGTCAACGACCTGTCGGAGGGTCGAGAAGGAGGAACAAACTTTGGCGCGTGCCAAGAGCGAGAGTCGCGAAAGATAAATCTAGTCGACTAGAAATGACAATCCATGCGTGGGAGTTTGAATGAAGAGGGGCAGAGAAATCTTGGGAGTTGGGGGGTATCGAGTGTTTTCTAAAGTCTCGCTCGGTCAGAGAAAATAATCCGTCAGCCTTCGATAAGTGAAGTGCGCTATTCCCATTTGCGGTCGTAGGGTGAAGATTGGGTGAGACATCCCTTTGGATACCCCCGCATGCATGGTGATCGGTAGTACTGATTGGTTGCCCTCTTGCGCTCTTTATCTTGGTATACTCCCTCCTCACTTTGTGCCATTGTTGGTACAAATACTTGGATATGGACCTGAGTGATCGGACACTCAGGGATCCCGGATGACTGACCATAGCTACCCTCGCATGAAACAAAGAGAATGGATTTGGGATGGAAACTGGGAGTCGTTCAAGCGGGCGAGAACTTTTGATACTTCCTAATCTTTGGGTGTTCGATCATCCACGTTCATGCACGAGTAGTGTTGACTGGTGGACTCTGGAGTCTAGGGGGTAGTAGAGAAACTCGAAGGGGCACCCTTTCTGGATGCAAGTGAGGTCACATGGGGGTATTTATTGCCATTTATGGCCATCCTCTATCTGCTGCTTGCTTGATTTGCATCTGGGTAACTTCAGAGTGGCTCGGGTTGTGCCGAATATCATGAAGCTACTGGGATGTCGCCATGCTACAATGCCCTGGCGTAGCCGAATATTTCCAAGTTTTGGGTTTTCAAGCCCCCGCCATCCAAGCCAGACGGAGGTTGCTCGAGTATCGTGGGCCACACACCATCTTTTGGCTTTTGTGGTCTGTCTCACCCTTGCGGGGTTTTCCAATGCTCTTGGCTGTTTTTTTCTTTTTGCATGAACTGAGGGACTAGTTCTGCGATTCTTGGATCGCCCGTTGGTGTTTGGTAGAGTAAGCTAGAGCACTGTCCAACACCACCAACCTATCCTTATACAGGTACAAGTAGGCCGCTCTTCTAGGGCCCATTTTCTCTCCTAGGGTGACATTCTACCCTCAATAGACTCCTAGTGGCTAGCTGTGAGCCAGACATTATAAGAGGCTGGAGGGCAACAAAACATCCATGGTTGGGCGAGGTGCCATCCGGGGAAGAGATGTTCTCTAGGTGCGAAGCTTTAAGAAATATCTACTCAAGTAATTGAGATTGTACCTGCCAAAAGTGCGAGGACCATGACCAATATATTGGTGGCGGGCGCCAACAGATCTATGAGAGGAGAAAGCTGAAAGTTGCCTCTGAGGCTGCATTTGGGATTCTGGCAACCCGGAGGCTGCGGGGGCGCTCAAATCTCTGCATGGAACGTGTTCCCACGACTGGGGGTTTCGCGCCATGAGGTGTGGAGAGGTAGGTACACCAGTATCAGATAATTCCTATTAGTTGCTTTTTCCTTTGATGTGTCTTTAGCTAATAACCTCTACTGAAGTTGTGGGGTCTCTGGTTGGCGCTCTACAAATGACTCGAGCCGGATAGTTAGTGGAGAGAAGAGAACGTAGTCTTTTCATTTCCGGCACTCCTACCATTCTCCGATACCAACTATGAAGGGAGTATTAAAGTACTTTCTTAATCCATTTTTCTTCTCTTTAGTATCTTTGATACTACTCCCTTCCGATCCAGCTCTTGCCAAAGAAACCCCCAAGCCGATCGCCGTTGCCTTCGCTAGAGATGAGACTTTTTTTGAGGAGTTCGTTACTCCAGCAATCATTGAAAATGGCACACACAAAATAGACCTGATTGTTGCGAATGCTGCCTCCGAAACAATTATTATCATAGCAAACAATGATACCTGCCGAACTGGCCCAGGAAATTTCGCTGCAGCATGCCATCCCGACAACAGCAGTTCAAGAATTAGTGGTATGGACATGCGTTTGCCAACGGGGAAGGTGTTTGAATAGAAAGAAGAGTCTCATAGGCTCTATGCCCGAGGGAACTCTGCGAATGGCATCCTTCAGCTAAGAAAACCCGGCAGCCTTGATGCCTCGGTAGATCTCCAGAATGTGCAGCTTTACTACACCACGCCGACGGAATCGAATCTCACTTTCAGTATCCTGGGGTTTGGAAAGAGCGCACCACTACTACAATCCCTCTCTTCCGATAGACTCATAACG